ACGATACCCCCAAAGTGGCTAGTGAGCCGTCCACACCCCACACTCAGAAGACTGACCCCACCCAGGAGAGCGTTGTGATCACTGACCATTTTATAGTTGAGAAAACGAGGCTGAAGGAGAGAGCGCCAGACAGCACGGCAGTGCGCGGCCGGACGCGCTCCCGGGCGCAGTGTCTGCAGAGGCCATGGTCCGAGCAGGTTCCGCTGCCCGCGCTGTTCATCTAATCTGGAGTGTGGTGACTGACGCCTCCCCCTGCGAAGCCGCTTGGTGAGTGGCACGGACCGCTGGGGCTCAGAGGTGGATGTTTGAAAGCTGAGATAAGTGCAGCGGCTTGTCCCTCCTCGGGGGGAGCTGATCGCTATCGCGTCTGCTGGAACAAGAGCGCCAGCTTCCCGGTGACATTCTTCCCGCAGCTCTGCGAGGCCGTAAATCACCCGTCATGCCCCAAACCAAACCAGCAACTCAAAAGTTTATCTTTAATTATATTTAAATCACCAGGTTTAACTGAATGTATTGACATTTATACCAAGAAATTAATTGACATTCTATTAACCTCAACCAGCAAATTAATTCTTCAACCCCAGACCCGGGGCGCCCGGAGGCTGGAGCTCGGTGGTTTTCCATCACGGGACGTACAGAGCTTTTTCTCGTGTGAGTTTAACGGTGAAACCTGAGGAGACAGAATCTCCGCATTCATATGCGCCATCAGCTAGATTCACACTGGAATTATTTTTTATCACAACAGAATAAAACACCTGAGCTGCTCGGCGCTTTCATTCATCATGTCGGCTGGGAGCGGAGAGGCCGTGAGAGGCGGGCCGGCGGCCTCACCCATTAATAATCCTGTTTGTGTCTTGAAATGACCGTGGGGCCCATCCTACTCCAGCGGCTCAGACCCACCCGCAAGGAGCTCAGGCTCGAGAGAGTCAGCCGGGCCCTGCTTGCTGTTTGCTCCCAGGCTGAGTAGAAGGCGTTCAGGGTCCCGCGTGCAGGTTGGCGGCCGGGGCGGTGTCTGGGGCGCGACCCACTTGCCGACGAGACGGCCGCCGGCCACGCCACGGAGCTGCGGCGCTTCCCCAAGTAGGCCCGAGCCCGGGGCTCGCCCTCGGACTGTCTTCCCTCGACCTGCGCTGACGTCTGCAGCGCGGAAGGCTTGGTGAGCGTGCGCTCTCGGTGTTCTCAGAGAAGAAACTAAAAATGGAGGGAGTGGAAGGATTCAGTTGCCGGATGTGGCAGAGGAAATATTTTTATTTTTTTTAAAGATTCATCTCATTTATACAGACGAGCTGGGGTACAGGCCAGAGATGTGGGGGGTAAGAGGACTCCCCAGAGACAGAGTGGGGAGCCGAACAGGCGCATCCGCTGGAACCCACTGCTGAGGGGAGCTGTGGGGAGACAGGCGGGGTCTGCCGCGCCCTGTGGGTAGCTCCCTGGCCGGGCATAGCTTGATCGTACTGAGACTATAACCCCTGTGCCCCCAGGGAGACCCCAAATAGGTATTTTTCATTCAAACCCCCTGCACCCCATCAAGGGGGGTTGCTGTGCCTGCCGCGGCATCAGCTCAAGGCAGAAGGGGAGCCGCCTGCCCGCAGCGCCAGGCTGCCCAGACCAGCCGCACCCTCGGTCCCGGGGAGGAGAGGCCAGGCCCCGCGCTGGCTGGGCATAGCTGGCTCCTGCCCCCCTTGCCAGCTCCACGTCCCCCTGGCGGCGTGCGCTGTGCCGAGTCACATCCGGAGCAGGAGGGCTTGGGGCGCCCGGCCCCTGTGTTTGCAGACGGGCCACGTCGCCAGCAGCCCCGGCGGGAGCGCCGCTCCACGGCCGCAGAGCGGAGCCGCAGGTAGAGAACCCCGAGGACAACAGAAAGATAAAGATCAAATTCGCCTCCGCCTCCGGGTGAATGTGTTTAAGAAAATGTCACGACGTGGGGACGGAAGACTGAGCTTTATCCGCTTCCTTAGCCCGCGGAGAGGCCCCAGCTCGCGTGGGGGCACGTTCCGTTGAGGGGAGGCGGCTCGGGGCCCTTGCTGGCGCCTCGCTGCTGGCTGTGTGCCCCGCCGCCCGCCCAGCGCCGCCCGCTCCCTCCGAAATGCTGGCCGCCCTCTGCGGCTGGGGCCGGCCTCCGGGCAAGACCGCCTGCGGGAGGCAGCGGCTGAAATGTCCCCGCGCGAGCGCGTCTGCGGGAAGCTGGATGAGGAGCTTGCCTTTTAGAAGCGAAGCCCAGACTCCCGCTTGCTTCATCTTAGATAAGCGGGCGGCGTCTCCACCAGCGCCTGCTCTCGGGGAACCCGCGGCCGGGCAGCGAGGGGCGGTCCTTCGGGCGGCAGGACCCTCCGTAGTGAGGATGGGCCTCGGCCTCCCGGGTCCTCAGTCTCACCTCGGGCATCCGGTACCGCGGCGTAGGCTTGGAGGGGCCTCCCGGTCATCACCCACCTTGGCTTCTCCTTTTCCAGCCTGAACTCGCTCCCTCTGCCGGGTCCTTGCTCGTCGGGCATGTTGTGTGTGAATCGAGTAATTCACGTAACCGCTCCAAGGTGCCAGTCGTGGATTTTATTAAATCCTGAAAGGCTCGGACGTGCCCCTTTGCCGCAGACGCGGGCGGTGTCCGGGCATCACCGTGATGCGCGGGGGCAGGAGTCTACAGTGGCATCTGGGGTGCGACTGCTAAGGGGGGCTGTGGGGTGGGCCCAACCATGCCCAGGCACGCCAGGCGGCCCTGCTTCGGATCGGGAAGCCCTGTATCCTCTCCAGCATCTTCTCAGCTCCCTCTCGCCTGCTTGCTGTGGGGAGCCTGGTTTCTCGGCGTCAGGGGCTTCGTGGTTGTCAGGGCAGAGGCCACGTCCACCGAGGGTCCGCGTTCCCGCAGAGCTGCACGTGGGCGGGGGCCCGGGAGAAGCGGGAGCCGGCGCAGGAGCGAGTGAGACGGGAGCACTCGGGAGCAGAGGGCGGAGGACGGCCGTGCGGACGGTGAAGGCAGGTGGGGAGGTGCAGGTGGGACCCTCAACCCCCGCCTGCGCCCCTGGCAGCGTGCTGGGGGGGGTCTTGTGGCCCCTGTGCCACCGTCCTCAGTGAACATCCCACCGTAATCAAGCCCCCGGGGAAGCCCCTGACCGTGGAAGCAGGAGCCCAGTCCCTGCCCCCAGGCCTGCGTACCCGCACCCCCACCTCCCAGCACCCGAACAAGCGCCAGAAACCCCATTCGCACGAGCGGGGGCAGGACGAAGCCCTGGGGCGAGGACGGGCCGGCGGGGGCTGCGGCAGGCCTGGCTCCGGAACAGCCTGGCTCCCAGACCGCGGGGTGGCGAGAGGCAGAAGCAGAGGACGTGAGAAGACAAATTTATGGTGACAAAAATCTCATTACGAAGTACATGCATTATAGGGATGGCGCGTACTTTATTTCCTAACGAAAGGTTTTTATTCTGAAAATGCTGATGAAGACGCCGAGAGGCGTGGGGCGCGGGAGTCCTCGGCTGCGGTCGGGAGCGCTTCGTCTGGGCAATATCCTGCTTCCATCTGGGATGGGCCGTCGGGCGGGGCGGGGGCAGACCGCGGCCCTTCCCCTCGGGAGCCCCGAGCGTGCCTGTCCCCACGCAGGCTCCCGGCATGGCTGCCGCCGCCGCGCAGGCCTGGGCGGAGCCAGCCGCGCTCGGTGCCGGGGGTCCCCGCCTCCCCCCCACCCCCCGCTGTCGTCACCAGGGCCTCCCCTAGCGCTCGCCCGCGGCCTTTGACGTCTTCCTTCCATTCAGACGCCTTCGATTTCCCCAGAAGCAGACCTGAGACAAGAGGGGTGAGCAGGAGGTTCCCGGGGTGCCCGGGACAAGCTGACCAGACCAGGGAGCGCGGCGCGGGCGGGAGGCGCCGAGCTACGTCCATGGGGTGCGGCGAGGAGACCTGCAGACTCAGCCCGGGGCCGCAGGTGGCTCTGGAGCGTGGGCAGCGCCCCTGCCTTTGGCCACTGGGAACAGGGAGCTGGGCTTCACCCCCAGACACTGCGGGGGCCCCCGAGGGCTGTGGCTTCCTGGCACCTTCAGCTCTGCATGTGGGTGGTGTCCCCGGAGAAGCGGGGGACAGTGGGGGAGCTGGTGAGACAGGAGCACTCAGAGCAGAGGGCAGAGGGTGAGTGTGCAGACGTGGCGAAGGCAGATGGGCAGGCGCGGGCAGGACCCCCCAACCCCCTGCTCGCTGCCCGGGCCCTCGGGAGCCTCCAGCCGCGTCCTCAGGGCGGGCCGCTGCGGCGCTGCTCTCCCGCCGCCTGGCTCTGCTTTCGTTTCCAGATATTTTGCCGAGGCTCCTGCAGGGAACCATCTGGAAGACCCAGGCAGGCGTGGAAGCCCACCTGATTTTTAAGGTCCCACGTAATGTGTGGGTTTCCTCATCCAGAAAAGCGGGTGCAGCTCTCTGTGGGGCTGGCTCAGCTGCAGCCCCCTGCTCCCCTCCTTCCCCGGACCCCAGCTCCGCCTCCTGCCCCGGTTCAGGGGGCGTCGTGGGGCTGGGGGATGGCAGACCACCCTAAAGGTCGGCGCTTCCCGAGCGTCTTGTCAGCGCCAGCTCCACGGCACAGGCCCTGCGGGCGTCCAGTCCCAGGGCACAGCCTGCCTGGGCTTCCTGGGGGCAAGTGGCCGCCCCTGTGCCCCCGTCAGCCCCAGAGGCCGCGCTCTGGCCCGCGGGGTGGAAGCAAAGGGCGCTGTGGGCACAGGGGCGGGGGCAGGGAGGCAGCCCTAAAGCTGCGCGCGGCTCGCGGGAGGCGCTGAAGGGTCACGGTTGCCTCCATCTGGGAGAGACGCCCGGAGTCCTGAGGCGACTCCTTTCCCTCCCGCGCGCCGGCCCGTGTGGCCAGGGTGGTCAGCGGCCTGCAGGGCCCGGCCGCTTCCTTCTCAGCACCTGCCCTGGGTCTCGGGGGTCCGGACGAGGTCTCCGGGGGCTCTGGGTGACGTTTCGGGGGGTGGCGGGCACAGGGCCCCGTGGCACCCCCGCCCTCAACGCTGTTCCCCTCTCCTCCGCAGGGCGGACGGCGCGGCCGACGAGGTCCTGCAGGTGGACGTGGCCGTGGAGGAGCCTGCTGACCCGCCGGCCACCCAGCTCGTCACGTGGCAGGTGGAGTACCCGGGTGACGTCACCTCCGACCTGGGCGTGTCCCGGATCTACGTGCGGCAGAAGGGGCTGCTCGGCGTCGTCCCGCTGGCCATGGTGAGACGCCCCGTGCGGTCAGGTTGGGGGAGCCATGCCAGGGCGCCCAGAGCCAGGGCGGAGGCCACGAGCCCGAGGGGGTCTTCTCAGTGACGCTGCAGGGTCTGGTCTGGAGAGCAGCCATGCTGTGGGCTGTGTGGTCGCAGTGGGTGGACGCGGGAGACTTCGTGGCCTGTCTGTCACCGGGGGCTGTTCTGAGGCCCAGCTGAGCCGTGGGGCTGCATTGGGGGACACCTGCCGGGCTGGACACCCACCAGCGGGAGCCACCGAGGGCGGCTGGGACCTGCCCTGGATGGAGGCCCCAGGCTGCTGTCCACGCGCTGCCAGGGCGGTGACCTCCCGACTCGCAGCCTGGGCCCCATCCGACTGTTTTAAAGCATGACTCTGACACCATGAGAGCACACAGGGGCGCAGGCGGGGGACCAGAAGGGCCGCTCAGGGGCTCCCCTGATGCTGCAGGGGGGAGGGTGGGGCACAGGGGGAGGGTGAAGGGCCTCACTGAAGACACCCGAGGCCCGCAGGTGTGTCCCAAGCGCAGCTCTCGGCTGCCCGTGGACAAGACAGGGCTCACCCAGGCGGAGTGACCGAACACGAGCATCTGGCTCCGTGGTGTCGCCGTCCGACAGCACCTCCCCGTGGGCCTGCCCCCGGCCCCCCGGCATGGCAGCTGGACGCTGAGCTCTGTGGCCATGGCCGGTGTCACTGAGAACGGAATTCTGCGACCTCCGGGATGTGATTGAAGGAGGCCTGGGTGCGAGGGGCTGTGGCTCAGACGCAGCTGTGAGGCCTTGGCTTGGAAACTGAGGGTGCTCCTGCTGCGCCCTGGGTCCACCTGCTCTGGCGCTCCCTGGCCCTGGGGGCCTTTCCGTGAGGATTGCCTCAAACGGGAGGCCTGTCCACTAGCTTCTGGCTGGGGTCCGTCGTTGGGAGGCGCTGGGAGAACCAGCCAGAGGGTGGAGAGGAAGGTGGCCCAGGCTGGCGCGGCTGGCTGCTCTCTCAAGAGCGCCTCCTGCCGGCAGTCGCGTCAGGGCGGCGTCCCTCTGCTCTGCGCCGCCTGCACATCCCGCCTCCCCCCGGGTGACCGCAGGTGACCGCATCGCTGGCCTTGCGGGGCAGTTCCTGGTGTGCGCTGAGAGGTGCTACTTTATTATAAGCCACGTGCTTCTGCTTGCCTCGACGGGACGGCCCGCTGCCTGGCCGAGCGGGTGGCGTGGTCCTTAGCGCAGGGAGGCCAGAGCGCCTTCGCTGGCCGCGTGACCCTTGTTGCACAGGAGGGGCGTCGGCTCCAGCAGGGTGGGAACGGCAGCACCGGGAATGGTTCCTGCTAAGACACAGATAGTGAATATTTTCAGTCTGGGAAGCCACGTGGTCTCGGCGGCGCTCAGCCCTGCCGGGTGCCGCAAGCCGGTGCCCCGCAGACAGGCCGCCGAGCTCGGACCAGCGCCGCGCCGGGAGGCGGGTGCCGTTGAACGTGCACGTGCCACCAAGGAGTGAGCTGCTTCTCATTTTTTCCCAACCACCTAAAAACACAAAAGCCATTCTTAGCGGAAACTGTACAAGAGCTCAGCCTGCTGGCTTGAGCCGTAGATCCTGGTCTCGTGGTCACCCTCGTCCTTGCCTCAGTTTCCCCTTCCGGAGGTGGGGGCCAGCCGTCTTACACGGTCTAATCACGAGAGCACGTTTGCTTCGGAAACAACAACACTACGGCCCGGCAGCAGCAGGAGAAACGTCTGTTTTCCTGGGAACAGAATGCGTGGCCGCTCCCCCTCGGAGGGGACGTCCCCGCCTGGGGCCAAGGGCGCGGCCGTCCACGCGCCTCCTTCCTCGGTCCCGCGCTGGTGTGCCGTGAGCCGCTCCTCTGCAGGCCTGAGGGATGCACATAAAGAATCTGCATCTTGGGTCACTGCATCTGGGGTCACCTCTGCCTGTGGTATCAGCCGCGCAGGACTTGCCTGTTTTTCCTGCCCCCCGTAGAGCCGAGACCCTCCTCCTCCGGGGCCTGGGGCTGGCGCCGTCGGCTTGCCTGGTTGTCAGGCCTTTGGCTGTGGACTGGACCCTGACACTGCGGTGGGGCCCTCTGGGTCTTGTCTATCCAGTGACCGGGTGTCAGTGAGAAGCCGCAGGGCGCCCCAGGCCTGCCGTCCTGTACGTCAGAGCTGGGGAGCCGAGGGCAGCTCCAGGAAGGGCAGCCTGGGGGCCTGTCCCCCTCTGCTGAGCTGCCTGCTGTTCTGTCCAGGCGCCCCGCCGTGCTGGGGACCCGGGGTGCCATCCACACGCTCAACCACAGGCTGCCGCTGGGGAGGGGTGTTTGAATAAAGCGGGGTTTCTGATAGGAGGGGCCCGGGGGGAGGCGGTGGCTGTGGAGACAGCCTGGAGAGCCCCAGCAGAGAGAGGACAGATGTGACTGCAGGGGCGGGGGGCGGGTGGAGGCGAGCGCCTCTCCCTTCAGTCACACGGCCTCTGAAACGTCTTCTAGACGAACAGTGCCGGAAAAACAAAATAGAGACGTGAGGAGGAAGGTGCCTGCGCCCCTCGTGGACACCTGTGCGGGCAGGCGGCTGCCCGCTGGCCGTGCGCGGCCCTCTGGGTCCAGGCAAGCGACGTCCTGGCCCAGCTGCAGCCCATCGTGCTGCTCGGGTGGGAGCTTGAGCTTCAGCCAAGATCTGAAGCTTCCAGATGGATTTGCCTGTGAGCTGTGACCATCCCGTCAGGTGGGGTTTTAACGGACACGTCACAGAATGACTTGACGGGGCAAACTTCCGCGCCCCCCGCCAGAACCCAGCGAGCTGTCCTGGGCCTCCTGGGGTGAGGGCGGCACCTCCCGTCTGTTTCTCTGGCTTGGTCCTCGGCTCACACACGTCCACTTTTCTGCTAACGGCGCGATCGTGAGTATCAGAGATGCCACGGCTGGGTCAGAAAGACGGGGGAGTAATTGCTAAGACGTTTCCACTGCAAGAGCACGAGCAGCACTGGGAGGACCCGGGGAGGCCGTGTGCCCCGCGCGGAGAGGCAACTCTGTCATAAGCGCCCCGCGGCAGGGTTCCTCCGCCGCCACCCAAGGGAGCAGCAGCCATGAGGGACGCTCGCCAGCGCAGCCACGGGCAGGGGCGCCCTCGCTGTGGCTGCCGTGCGCAGGTGGGTTAAGGCGGGGATGGAGGCTGTCAGCCCTGTGAGCGCGCGCTCACGCGTGAGTGTGATGAGGCAGCTCACGGGCAAGCAGAGGAATGGTTAAGGTCGGGCCGCCAAGTGCGCACCAGGGACCTGGGCCTTCCGCCCACGCGGCTCGCATCCCAGGGTGGGACTGTGACCAGCCAGCTGATCCCTTCCCACCCTTGAAAGGCCAGAGCCGCGTGCCTCTTACCGCGTGGACGGATTCCTCTGGCAAGGAAGAGATGAAATCACTTCTGAGCCGTGAGGCGGGTGGCAAGTTTAACTTCCTAGTATATGCGTCCAGGTCTGATGATCGGGCCTGGAACTCATGTCTTTCTAGAAAAATCTGCCCTTCATTTAAAGAAATTCCCTTTGTGGTGATGAAGTTGGGGGATAATGATAAACATACAATCCAATGACCGAGAAAGGGCTCAGCCCTTTAGAATATATGGTGCGCGGACAGACTCTGCGCTCCGGCGGGGGAGGGGAAGGGATGGAGGATGGATGGATGGATGGATGGATGGATGGATGGATGGATGGATGGATGGATGGAGGATGGATGGAGGATGGATGGATGGATGCAGGATGGATGGATGGATGGAGGATGGATGGATGGAGGATGGATGGATGGATGCAGGATGGATGGATGGATGGATGGATGGAGGATGGATGGAGGATGGATGGATGGATTGAGGATGGATGCAGGATGGATGGATGGATGGATGGATGGATGGATGGAGGATGGATGGATGGATGGAGGATGGATGGAGGATGGATGGATGGATGGATGGATGGATGGATGGATGGAGGATGGATGGATGGATGGAGGATGGATGGAGGATGGATGGATGGATGGAGGATGGATGGAGGATGGATGGAGGATGGATGGATGGATGGAGGATGGATGGAGGATGGATGGAGGATGGATGGAGGATGGATGGAGGATGGATGGATGGATGGATGGATGGATGGATGATGGATGGATGGAGGATGGATGGAGGATGGATGGATGATGGATGGATGGAGGATGGATGGATGATGGATGGATGGATGGATGATGGATGGATGGATGATGGAGGATGGATGGAGGATGGTTGGATGGATGGATGGAGGATGGATGGATGGATGGATGATGGAGGATGGATGGAGGATGGTTGGATGGATGGATGGAGGATGGATGGATGGATGGATGGATGATGGATGGAGGATGGATGGATGGATGGAGGATGGATGGATGGATGGAGGATGGAGGATGGATGGATGGATGGATGATGGAGGATGGATGGAGGATGGTTGGATGGATGGATGGATGGAGGATGGACGGATGGATGGAGGATGGACGGATGGAGGAAGGAGGATGGATGGAGGATGATGGAGGATGGGTGGAGGGTGGAGGGTGGCTGGTGGTGGGTGGATGATAGACAGATGCTGCACAGGCGGGGCGATCAAGGGAGAGCGTGGTGCCCGCTGTCTGGTGGAGGAGCCTCTCCCCCTCTGCTGCCCACGCAGCTCCTCGGCTGGCTCTGCTTCGCTTTCCCCAGGACCCCTTGACTCCCCGCGGCCTCCACCGACCTTCAGTGAGGCTGAGGCCCCCGGTGCTGCTGTTCCCACACGAGCTGCTCGAGCTCCTCCCGCGGCTTTGTGGCCTCGCCCTCCCGACCGTGCGGGCTGCTCAGGGAATGCCGGCCCCGGCTCAGACCAGCACCCCGCATGCGGCCCGGCCCCCCTCTGGCCGCGCAGGCTGGGGTCACGACGCACGGGTGTGGGTGGAATCACGGCCGATGTGGACTCGTGAAACAGCACCACGTCCCGACCGCCCGCTCCACCTGCGGAGGCTGCGCCGCCAGGTC